AGTGCCACATCTATCGACTTGCGATATCCCACTCAACGAGCAATTGCTATTTGTGATCGGGCTGGACCAGGATACTACGGCAAGCTTTGGCTGAACGCCGAGAAGAACTAATGGCTATAATGCGCAAGAGAAGCGCGGATTTCTCCATGAAACCCATAGCACAGATATAAGTAATATTCGGATAGGACCGTTGGAAATGCGTTTACTTTACGGCAAGGGAGCCCAGTGTGTAACAAATCCACAGGCACGCGTGGCAGGGCCTTTTCTCTCATCCAGAGCGTATCCGGGCGTCTCGGCCTGGAGCGGTGTATGCCAAATACTCTACGGCTGTCTCGCCAGAAGTAAGAGTCCAATCTACGCTTATATTTATTTATGGTATAATAAATCGACCGTGGAGGTTGTGGCGGACTCTGCCGCTAACCTGCACCGAATACTGCCTCGAGCCGCCCGTGCTCGGATCTATTAGACAAAAGCACATAGCCATCCCCTTCAGGGCAATTAACAGAATTGACAATACACACAGTTTGGCACGGTACATGTATAGTAAGAATGTGGCGAAATGCTTCTTCATGAACTATCTGCGTCTCGGCTACATTAAAAAGCCAGTCGTCTACAGGAAAGACATGATTCGTAAGAGTTTTGGTCCTTTCCATACATAGAAGCTAGCTCACTCCATCAGTAGGACCTTGCCCAATCAACACACCCCAATTGTGAGATGAAGGGCTCATCTCAGTTGGTGGTAGGTAGTTCATGTTGAGTACCAAGCGGGACATTGTCATTGTTCGATTGGGAGATGCTGGGGAGCATATCGTGGCCAAGCGTACCCGCGCCGCCCTGATCAGGCCATTCTGCCTGGATCATTCCGGAGCCTGGCAAATAGGATGCAAGTCGTCTGTTCTGGAGGGCGTCGATCGCGCGCCAGAATCGAGTGGTCGCGGTAACCAGCTCCGCGTGTGCCTGATCCAACACCAGCTGTATATCATTCCACGGGACCTGATCTTGCAGAGCGGTGTTCGTGGATTCCACTTGCTGCTGCAATTGGCAAATCTCACGCTGGAGCTTCTGTTGCTCGGCTAATGCAGTATCCCTTGCCATGACAGCGATTTGCAACTCCGAACTCTTTTGCGCTTTCTCGGCTTTGAGCTGGTCCAGCAACTGAGAAAGATCGTGGTTCTCTCCATCTCTCTCCTCAAGCACCTCTTGAAACTCCTCCTCAATATTGCTCATAACCCGGAGACACTTTCTATGCGTCGCTTTGTCGTTTCTGCTTTTGGGCTTCTTCGTAATGGAGGATTTCTAGCATGGTCAGTAAAAAGTACATTGAAATAAAGGGATGCCACCGGGGCTGTTCTGGCCATAGTGTAGTACGATCCAAAAAGGTGGCGTACCGAATCTCTGTGTGATTTCGTGTCTGGTTTGCGTGGCTTTCGTCTATCTTTGGTCTCAGAACCAGTAGAACAAACGGAATAGAATGACGGTGCGGCACGCCGCCGTACGCCGTCAGACCTGAGGTCTGCGTCATCCTGAGGATGCTTGGGATTCTTTGCCATGTTCGAACTTTTGTTTTTCCTCAATCAACAGTGAATCAACCAGGCACAGAAGGGATGAGAACAGTATCAGCAGTGACCTGCCGAGAATCGAGCATTATATAGAAATAGGGAGAGGCCTAAGCATAAGATCGGAAAGAGAGCAGGGCTCCTGCCAAGCAAGTGCGTCGGGACGAGAATCACGAACTCAAAAGATTGAGGACTACTTTATATGCCGGACTCCGTGAAGCGTTAGCGCGAACGCACTAAACATCTGCCCTTCGATTTTACTATCGGGGATGCGAGCAATTAGCCCGCACAAAGATGCATGGGGATGCACTGTATCTTTTCACAGCATGAACAGGCCAGCCTCATATTATTACAAGTAATATCACGCATGAATTACGATGTTCTTTAGTGAATAAATTCAGTTCAAACAACAGGCTCAGCAGGAACCAAGAGTACGATCGAGCCCCGACAACGCTTAAGCGATGTGTCGTCCAAATAGTGTGATCACTAGACCGCTTTCCATGGTGTAATGAGCGACTCGGAACGTCGCTGCGAAGTCTGTCATTGAAGCCCAAAGGAATTGCTACAATTGATACATCTCAGGTCCGTGCTTTTTGGAATAGGACTCGGAATCAGGACGAAATAGAAGTTCTTTATCCGGTATAGGCCGAGTCCTAATACGTATGTGTATTTTGAAATGCTATTATAACCATAATTGCTCAGTTTGCGTGCCTCGCGTCCCACTTTACTGTTATGCTTCATTTGAAGTACGTGCGTCCATGAAAGGGATCCAGCCCGTCAAGTGCGGAAGTGACAGTCAATTTCAGCTGTTGGTTGAAGAGTTTAGACCTACCGCTTTCAAGTTGCGACGCAGCAGATCCTCCCTCTAAAAGGTTTATTTGCAGGAACTCTTAGTGTTGGTATCACCAGCTAGGTACTGTGTACACAGTTAAGTGGACAGTGGTTATGCTTCCAAAGCAAAAGTCAATTTGGTTCATGTAAAATAGATAGATGATTCTTCTAGGTCAAGGCCCAGTAGCCCTGAATCCATAACGTGAAGTCCGGTTGCGCGGGCGACCCGGTTGCGCGAGCGACCCCACCAAAAATACACTTCAATAATGATGCATCTTCTTTGACCACAAAAACAATGCCCCCCCAACGCTCTGATAAGAAAAAAAAGTTAATAGAGCAGGAGGGTCGCCTTTCATTAGCTATACAAGCTATTAAAAATGGCAAGTATCCCTCTGCTGCCGCTGCTGCGCGATCTTTTGAGATACCTGTCTCAACTTTGAAGGCCCGGATCAATGGGCGCGAATCTGCTACTGAAAAGCGACACAATCGCTTCATTTTTACCGAAATTGAGGAGGGATCGATTGAAAAATGGCTACTGGATATGGATTCCAGAGGGGCAGCTCTTACTTTGCCTATGTTGCGAGATATGGCCAATCTTCTACTGTATGCCCGAAAAACTACACCCTCTACTGTGGGTAATCATTGGCCTGCTGAATTTATCAAACGACGCCCAAATCTCTCTACTCGCCTCTCTCGCAAATACGATTATCAGAGAGCTCTTTCAGAAGACCCTCGAATTATTGAACCATGGTTTGATTTGGTTCAAAGGACGATTGAAAAGTGGGGTATCGCTTCAGACGATATCTTCAACTTTGATGAGTCTGGTTTTGCCATGGGTATTGGTGCAACACAAAAGATTATCACTTCAGCAGAATACCATGGAAAAAGAGCTCTTTTACAAGCCGGAAATCGTGAGTGGGTGACTTCGATTGAGTGTATTAGAGCTTCTGGAAGTGTTCTCCCGCCGCTCTTTGTCTTCAAAGGAAAACAGTTCCCAGAGCATTTACGACCCTATCTCCTTTCAAATCAAAAAGGAGCTCGTCTAACCATGAGCTTAAATGGTTGGACTACCAATACAATTGGTTTATGGTGGTTAAAATATCATTTTATCCCAAATATTGGGACAAGAGTGGGAAAATACTGCTTACTGGTCCTTGATGGTCATGGGAGTCATTTAACCCCTGAATTTGACCAAGTCTGTGAAGAAAACCAAATCATCGCAATCTGTATGCCTCCGCATGCTTCTCATCTTTTACAGCCTTTGGACGTGGGTTGTTTCTCGGTTTTGAAGAGGCTTTACGGAGGGGCGGTCTCAACTTTGATGCGAAACGGAGTTAACTCCATTGACAAGGAAGATTTCCTTGAACTGATCGCAGATGCGAGAATGGGTGCTTTTAAGACTTCCACTATAAAGAATAGCTTTTTGGCTACTGGATTAGCACCATTCGATGCTAATAAGGTCATGGAAAAGCTAAATGTGCACCTGGATTCCCTCCCTCCTCTGGAGATCCTTTCTCAGCGACCAGTCTCTTCCGGTAGCGATAGTGATCCAGATACCCTTTGGACCCTTTCAAAGTTTACAAAATCGCAATCTCGGATCAAAAAAAGTCTACAATCTTCTTCTTCAATCCTTTCTTCACCAACAAAAAGGGAGATCAATAAGACTTACGAGATGACTATAAAAGTGGTCCACCACCACATTTTTCTCCAGAATCGCTGTACTCAATTGGAGGCTACCAACAAGAAACAGACCAAGAAGCGAGGGACCAAACACAAGTTTAGTACCCAGAAAGGCATCTTTGGGGGTCTAGAGGGTGGTGAGGATGATGTGGTTGTTGGGGATGAAGATAGAAGCAAAGATATATCTTTACCAGAGGTGCCTGCAAAACCGGTTACGGAACCTACTCTACCTTCTATGCCCTTGGTTCGGCGGCAGGTGACATGTTCTGGCTGTGGAATAAAAGGTCATACATATTCTAAATGCCCTACACGTGTTCAATAGCCAAACTTATGTTTTTTGGTGGTTTTAATAGTGGTTAAAAATTGAAGGTTTTTCAAGGTTTGGTGGGGTCGCTCGCGCAACCGGGTCGCCCGCGCAATCGGACTTCACGTTACGGCGGGAGCCGTTGCTTAGCAAGATTACGTACAACCTGTCTTTGCTTATTCTGACGGGAGTATATGTCCCGACAGTTAGTCCATCTTCAAACTTCAATTTATGCTACCTATGCTACTTGCTAAGCTAGATCCGTCTTCAATTTGATACCCGAAATATCCTCCAAATATCCCCGCATACATTCATCTTCTTGACATATGTATCGTTGGATCCTCCATCAATATCCCTCTTCCTCCAGCAAGTCAATCTATCCCATTCCAACGCGTGTTCCAACTTCTCAAATCACATTAGATCACGTCACTGGTCCATTCATTCCACTGGCGATATGTCTCACCAACAATCCAAAAACCAAAAACCAGAATGAATATATCCAATCCACCAAAGAGATTAGACAATATACTCATCCCACTTCCCCTCATACTACCACCATACACCCCTATACCCCCTAAATATAAAACATAGTCTCGGCAATATTAGGATGGATAACAACATCAACCATCCTAGACAAATCCGCCGTCCCCTCCGTCACACCACTAATACTCCCACCCGAAGCATCAACAGGCAAGGGGTCAAAAGATCAGAAAGAAAACACCTGGCCCTTGCACAGACCAAATCCGCATAATAAGCCGGCGGACAAACACTAACAGCCTTCGTGGCCCGCCCAAACATATAACACATCTTATGCGTCAACTCTTGCAAAACGTCCGCCGCACCTTGTCCCCCCGACTTCGCTGGGTGACGCGGGTAGAAGATCTCATCCCAGACGGTGAAATAGTGCGCTGGACGGGCAGTTCCCTGCAGTGCGGCATGGGCTTGTAGGTAGAAGTCCCAGTCGCGCGCTTCGGAGACGCCGCGGTCGACGACTGTTCCCGGGATTGGATTTTCGCGGTTGGAGTCTTGGTCGGTTGTTGGGTAGAAGCGGGTGTTGTGGCGTTTGCCGACGATGACGATTGAAAGGCGTGGGAGGCCCTTTGCTGTCAGCGTTGCTGGGTATGTCTTTTTGCAGGCGGCTTGGAGGAGGGAAGTTCCTCCTCGATGACTTTGTTGTATTGGCCTTCTGAGACGCCGTCGCGATAGATGATGATGTTCTCGGGCAGGGCCTTTTTATTGCATTTAGCCCAATGTTGAAGGCGGGAGATAAGGAGGGTTTCGAGATCGGCGACCATTTCCTGGCGCGCCCCTTGGACGCGGATTTCCGCGGGCCACTGCGCCAGGGTTGAGTCGATGGAGGCGACGATACCCGCCACGCTGGGAGCTGTGCTGGCCGAGCCTGGGGATGGGTGGGTGACATCTATGCCGACTAGCATTGTTTTTCCTTCGGATATGATGCCGAGGTCGGCGGTGCCGAGGCTTTGGTTTGCACCGCCGAGTTTGAGGTTGATTTTCAGGCCCACATTCGCGTTGTACTGGTCGTTGAAGCCGCGAAGCTTTTCAGCCAATACGTTCACGTTGCGGATGCCGCAGCGGACGTCACAGACCTGCTTAACGCAGTTGTAGATGCCTGTGTCCTTTGCGTAGAATATGCCTAGGATGAAGATTGGGTCAAACTGCTTTTGCAGGTCGAGGATGGCGTTTTCGATGTCGGCTGCGTCGTTGCGTCCTGTTAGGACTACGCTCTTGCCGCCTTTGTGGCCGTCGACTGCCATGCCCATGTCTTGAGGGTCTTGCGGAAGCCCTGGAGAGACGAGTCGAGCCCATCGGGGCCGTTAAAGATGGGACGGGCGTTTTGGTGGTCGACGTAGAGGAAGACCCAGGACTTTATTGGCTTAGCTTGGGAGAACTGGATTTGTTTCATGTTTCAGCTGCCAGCCATAGTTCGGATTTCCTTGGTTCGCTTGCCGTTCTTGTAGAAGACGCTTGGTGCTGGGAGGACGCGACCAGGAACGGTGATGAGCTCTGTGGAGGAGCTGACACCGAAGGCAGACTGCAGTTAGGTTAATAACTTTGATCAGATATCTAGAGTGAGAGTGCTGACCAGAGTGGAGTTCAAAGGCTCCAGTCCTAGGGCACCAACACCCTTAGTAACGATGGAGTGCGCGTTCTGGCCTGGCTTACGACCCATCACGGCGAAGCGGAGCATCTGGGCAGTCTGGTCACCGGACAGCTTCGACTTGGCTGGCTGACCAGGCTCGACCTCGCAGACCTCAACAGGAAGATAGACAGGCTTCTCGCGAGATCCGACATTGACCACTGGCAAACCTAGGTTCAAAGAGAGGTTGTACTCTAAGAATGAAGTCAGTATTAAAAAAGAGAAAGGTAATTGATAACTGAAGGTTTACTAACCCTTTTTGAAGAAGGCTTCAACGGTGATCCAGCGTCCAGGCTCCGCAGGACCGGCCTTGGGTGCTTTTTTCCCTTTGGGCTTTGGCGCACCGCTAGGCGGGCCAGGCTTAGGGCCAGCTTCGGCAAGGAAGAATTCCACCTCAGCAGGACCTGCACCATGGCGAGCAACCTTGGGTGCGTTGGGCGATTTACCACCGTCACCGCGGTTGGCAAGTCCATATATAGGCTTAATGCGAGGACGGGACTCACCGCGGCTGTTCTTACGGGCGATGTGCGTGATACGGACGCGGACGCTCTTGAGGAACTTCTCTAGAAGATATGTGTTCCGGCCGCCGTAGCTTTGGATCATATTGGCCAGGGGTCCTTCATCGTAGCAGGCGAGGTACTTGACCTGCACGTTCAAGAGGACGCGAGCTGTGGCGGCACGCACACTGACGAAGAATCCACGGAGAACTGACAGGCCGCCGCCGAGGTTGTATGACTCCTTGATACCTTCGCGATGACTATAGTGTCTATTAGCTCCGACAGAGACGACACTGTCGTCGGTCTTAGGGTGGTGTCCCAAGATTATGTTCAGAGCAGTGAGGATATCAGACTTAGAGTCCAAGATCGCACTGGCATTGGCGGAAGTCAAGTAGTTCAGCAAGTCAGCCGGGTTGACCTCACCAGTGTGCTGCACCGTGACCTTGTGCACACGGGGAGCTTCTGGGTAATCATCCAGCAGATTCTCCTTATATCGCACATCGAAGGAACCCTCCGTCAGCTTGACACAAGACACAAGCGTAGAGCGGAAGTCCGACGCAATGCTGCTTTTCTGCTGGGCGAAGTGCTCTTCCAACAGCAGAGACACGACCTGCCGGGCCTTTTTGCCCACTGGTGCAGTTCGGCCCGCAGCGTCGGCCGCGATCGTAATATGATAGCGGAACAGCTGCTTGTTAGGCAGGGTCAAGGGCAGGTAGTTGGCATATAAAGTCACCGGCCTGCCGACAGTGCCGTAACCAGGACGTTCGGGATATTTAGCTTGTCTGGGAGCCTTTGCACCGTTGATAGCGAGGGCTTTGGCGATATCATGCTCGGTCTTGGTAACCACGGTGCTAGGTTGTGGAATAGGCTCGCCTTGTCTGATGGATAGTTAGATCATCGAAAATTTATATAGTGAAGAGCTGACCTGAAAATGGGAGGGCCGTAGTTCATAACTCCACCGCGTCCTCCACGGCCGCGTCCACTGAAATCCCCGCGTCCACGTCCACCACCATCTCCTCTGCCGCGACCACGGAAGTCACCACGGCCACGAAAGTCACTACGACCTCTGTCACCACCGCGGCCTCGAAAGTCCCCGCGGAAACCCCCACGATCCCCATCTCCTCTGCCAGCTGGGCGGAAGGGTAAGTCACCGCGACCGCGACCGCGACCACCATCGGAGGCACGACCACGATCCCCCCGACCGCGATCACCACGTCCACGTCCTCTAGGGTTGTCACCCATGACTAAATACTCTAACAATAGATGGGATGGCTCATAAAAGGGAGGCGGGGAGGGGAGCAAAGGGAAAGGAATGGGCTTATGTGTCAACAAAAGAGGATCGAAATGTTACTACTCGGGCCCTTCCAATGCTTAGCTAAGCTAGTCGCCCCAGACACCTTCGGTGTTGGGGCTCCGGTTTTAGACCATACTTTCGGGCCCTATTTTGGTGCCTAACCATACTTTTCACCCACCTCGTAAAACGTCAATTTTCGTAGCATTTTTGTACAGCAAATTGCTGCCATAAATATTGCATTCAAAAGAGCATTGCGTAAGCTATTTAATGTAAGCAAATCAGAATGCAATACATATTATATTGGTAGGATCTTCGCAGTATTCCTCATGCTCTTGGCGTACATGCATTTCTCAGCCATTTCTCTCTCATTTTTCTCCAGTTTTAGCTCCAATTTTATCTCCACATTCCTCGCTTTCTTGATGGACTCGATTCAGGCATTGGCAGCGGTGGCATCGGTGGCGGCGGCGCCGGCGTATCTAGGCTGGCATTCACCCTCGCAAGAAGCTCTGCTGGCATAGGGTTCTTAGCCGCTTTCCTACCTAGCGATATCGCCTTCTTCTCAGCCTGATCTCTCTCTCTTTGCTCTCGCTTGCGTATATCCTTATTTGCATCGCCTTTTGTGAGTGGTCCAACTATCCTGATCTGCCGGCCAGAGGGCCTCGTCGTCCGATTGTGGGTATGGGTAAGAAGAAGCTGATTGTCGGCACGGAACTGGGCAAGGCCCTCCGTCGAATTTCCTACACTAAAGGTTAGATACACGTAAAATAACGGCGAGGAAGCGAGAAACCTACCTGCAGTGCTACAAATAAGCGTAGACCGGTGTAAAACTCTCTCCACGATAGATAGGAAGCTCTTTAGACGACGTCTCTCTCCGTCCTCGCGATGATTTCTCTCCTTAGCACTCTCATTATTCCTCTTCCTTATTGACGTGGCCGTCCGCTTAAGGGTAGCTAGACGGCGTCGAGCAGCGGCGATATCATTGAGAAGCTTCTGAGACGTCGATTTCGTGTCTAGAACGTCTCGCGGCGGTGACATAGTGATAGAGCTAGCGAGCTCGCGGTCTTGAGCTTCATCTCTGTCTCCATCTCTATCAGGAAAGCCGTCTACCCATATATCATTAGTCTCATCATTAGCATCTCTGATCTCTTGCTCCATGGCTAATTGCGCATCAATAGGGACGATTCCAGTAAGGCGAAAACCTTCCTTAATGACGTGCTCCGAGAGAGCATCCATCACCTCTCGAACCTTAACGATTTCGCGAAAAAAGTCGACTTTCCGGGATACCGAGCCACCCCATTGGACAACCTCGACATTATTTCTCCGATATAGCGCTTTATACCGTTGAAATGGAACCGAATCGAGGGGCTGGCATATATGGGAGACATGCGGCCGGAAGGCGTACGGAACAATGCGATTTTCCCAGCATTTTAGGATGAATTCAGGCGTGCAGTGAGACTTATGGCCGTCGAAAAGAAGAAGGCGATAACCTCGGCAGTGTACTCGGTCTGCTTCTTCGCGTATTGCTTTATCTCTCGGCGAATAGCTGCATCTTGGCCGTATCGACGGCGACCGCCATGGCCACGAGCTTCCGCTATCCCATCATCACTTTCGGCGTGTTTATGGCGATAGACTCGGTGGTTTGTGGCCTCGATAAATGAGTCTAGCCATTCTAATGCTGTGGTATGAGACGAATAGCCCTTTGGTGTCGGTTTTATCGTCCAATCATCAGGCATTTCGTCAATATACCAGCTTTCCTGGTGATACTGAGCTTTCACTAGAAACCACGGCGGCGTCTTCCAACCATCAGCAGCAATGCATTCAATAGCGGTAATACTTTCGCCATGGCCTCCGGTTGCAGTGAAGCTAATAGGTGAAGCAGATACCACTTTTTGAGCCTTTCCTTCGCCGATTCGGAAGCCGGTTTCATCCATGTTATAGATGTCCTTCGGTCGAAACCCATACTGCTTAATACACTGCTCTAGGCGGTCATACCACATCTCCGTAAGACCTACGTCCTCGGCGCCCATTCGCTTCGGGTCCTTCGGCTTCTGCTTAATAAAATGGAGGTGGGGTGTAAGCTTTGGCAGTCGCTTAGTGAATGCGAGGCCCCAGCCATGCCAAAGAGGCTTCCTGTCCGGGGGTAGAATCCAAGTGAGGCAGGGGCTCCGGGGATGCGAAATCCCGGTCAGTTGTGGCACTGCCAGGCGCCATACTGTGTTCCTGTGTATCATCCACCCCATCCATCCATCTTGTACTAGTGGGCCATTGTGTGGCAGATTATCACTTTCGACTTTTACTTCTTCTTTCTCGAAAGCGGCATCGGTATTGAAATAATAGTAACCTTTTTTCTAGAAGCAAGGAAAAGGTTATGAGGAAGGCTCAATATCAACTATTGCTTCATTCTTATACTTATACTACATGCCGTCTATGAACAGTGGACGCACTTGTACCGCGTAGTCCCAAGTGTCGTAAAGGGATCATCTGAGCAAGTCAAGGAGACACGAGCTTTGACCAGATATTGTCGATGTGTTGGCCCGAGAATCTCCTGGGTCTCCGAAACTGGATACCACGCTCCAATTGTTGTCAGCGGAGCTTGTCTCAAAACCGAAGATTCTGACCGAATACACGAGTGTGGAACCCGTAGTTGAAATGTTGGCGGTGGGTACAGTAACGGAAAGTCGTTATTCCGAAATGAAAGATTCGTTTACGACGTCGCAGATTCTCCTTTTTTACTTTCGATTAAGTGTTAAGGTACTGTACGCTCAAAGTCGTGGTCGTGAAATTATGCCTACCCCTTTCAACGAAATGGCCGATGATGGAAACCATCAAACTATTGCTAAAATAGTACACAACTTCGTCGCTCGGCCTGATAAGAAAAGTCTCAATCCTCTTAGACTTGCCAGTCTCTCTGTTTCCGAATTCTCGACCGAATTGGCGAACCATTTATCCACTATAAATGAGGGTGGCAGTATTGCCCTTGGCCGTGGAGAAAAATTGGCCAGCATTAGCCTAAGCAAGAGCTTAGAGAGCCTTTTCTCAACCTCAACACCACACGTGACCGAAAGGCCGCCGTTGACTTGGACGAAGCTTGTGCTTTTCGCAGGTCCCAATTTTGAGGGCCCAACGCAGCTTAAAATTGACAATTCCAGCGTTGAGCTGCCCGAGTACGACCTCAAACTCTTACGGTCTGGTCGGCCTTGGCGGTTTCTCTCCCCTTGGCCAGACAGAGACGATTGCACGAAGGAGCTTCAGTCGAGCGAGACTGCGCTGCAGGAGCTTTCCAGTGCTCGGAAAGTAATAGACGAGGGTGAGTGTCTTGGAAATATGGCTTAACGATGTTATATGGGAAGCTGAAACCGATTATTATAGTCTTGGCACAAATCTTACTTGTCGAACAACGTCTCCGGAATCATCGGGGTTTAGTGTCTCAAATTTTTGAGAGTAGGGACCACGCCATCCACCGAGGTAAAATTTCAATCTGTGACGGGGCTCAGCCTTTTGCTCAGCCTTTTGTTCCAACTCAAGGAGCTTTTGGTCCAGGGCCCTTGGCAGAAGGTGACAGCATAAGATACCGAGATTCACCAACCATCCCTGTACCTATCCATTATACTAGCAAAGCCGGATCGGCGCAGCCAGTTAACGAAGACCCGAATGATCAAGCTCCGTTAGAAGATGCCACTGTGCGGAATCCTACTCAACACGATGACTTTGGGCATGCAGACGGCACAAGGCCAGAGTCCAGGTTACACACATCTGACTTTATTCAAAATCTGAGCGAGTAAGTGCAGCATATACCGGGGCTTGGATGTGCGTTTATTAACTAACATGTGAAAGAATTCTAGATGATCCAAACAGTTGGGAAGCCATGCGCCGGTCAGAAGATGGGAAATCTGTCTTGGTCGGCGAAGAAAGCATATTTCCTGCACACATGCTTGCAAAGATGTCCACAAAAAGCTACCAATCTCTTATCCGACGGCTTTATTACTATGGCTTTCACAAAATTGGGGGTGCCTACCATCACAATTCATTCATTCGTGGTCAGCCTAGCTCCATACGACCGGCTCGAGAGATGAGTCACAGCCCCTCACTTCCTTCGCCTTTACATAAAAGCAGTTCTCAAGGTGGGCCTCGTTATAAAGTGATCAAAAGAAAGCGGAAAAGGGATAGCGTTTAAAAAATTATCCCAGTGGTGAAATAGGCTATGCCAGTAGCTATTTCTCTACTTCAATCAAGGCTAATGCTCTCAAACGTTTGGTACGATTCGCTGGTTTAGACCCTTTATAGATACGACAAAAGGAGTACCGTCTGTTCGTTCCCATCTGTGTGCGCGCTATTCCCCTAATAACAGATTCTAGAATCAGAGCGATGTCAGGCTTTGGAAGACGGGATTTCCGTAACTTGATTGGTAAATCTGATAGAAGTTCGTCATCTTGACCCTGGGAGTCCTCTTGCTCCCAGTGGCTTTGTTATGGCTTCTGGGAGCACGTAAGCCGCCATTAGGAGTTATAGCCACCTGGAAACCCGAGGCAGCTTCTAGGCTTTTTCCGCAACCTGAAGGCTCTGGTACAGCTCCTGGGAGCACAGAAGCCACTTCTAGGAGCCAAATAGTCCGCAGGAAACCTGACGTAACTTTTCTGAGGCCTTCTTTTCTCGTCTCAGAGAACCAAAGCCGCATTCTTGTTGATAGCTTCATTAGCTCATCGAAACTTAAGCGTAGTTTCTGGTATTATGAATTGGCCTTCTCTGAATAGTCAATGACTCAGACTCGAGCGCAGTGAAGGGATCTTGTGACGGCTCTACAGAGACAGACAGAGATGACGCTAGGACCCAGCAGCAAGGCCCCAGAAGTGCAACAGCTCCCAGATCCAGGCGATGTGTTCCCCAAAGCCGTTCATTATTCATTCAGCAGCTGTGTGAGGGTCTCACGCATCCGTTGATGACGACAGCG